TTTTCCTCTTATGCCAATTTTCAACGTTTTGCATAACGAGGTCAAGGTTCCAGACGATGACTAAATAGCAGAAATGCGCATGCATAAGGCAATATACCTAACACGTCCAGTTGATTTTGTTAAAACCGTTATGAAGATAATTCTGAAAACGTAGAAATCAGTGGCCGGATTGAAAGATAAATACTCGGTTCAAGACAGCGATAGGTGGCGGGAGTCGACTCCCTGACCTTATGCTTTTCTATGATTCTCAACGCTGCGGTTATTTTTCATATGTGACAATAAGGGTTGATGTAATTATTTAAGTGTGGTCTTTTAATAAACGAATTAAAAGAAAATTCGGGCGGATTGCAGACTATGCAAATCCGTTCATATTATAATGCATGCAAGTTGCCGTTCAGCAGGAAGTCTCGGTTCCCAGGAACCGCGGTATTGTAATCATAATAATGCCATCTCGATGAAACAACGTTGCGTGGCATATCTTAGTATAATATACATACACTGTCAGACAGGTACTATTGTCAGCTAATAGCCAAAGTTTGCAAACATGTCTGCCAGGACAAGGCGGTAATACTTTCGAATACATCGTTATAGGCCGTTTCACACGTGCGGTATAGTAAAACTTCCTACTGTATAGCGGACTGTCGCATGATGATAGACTGCTTGTAAAACAAATTGTTGTGATAAATAATAAACGTCATACTTGTTATTTGAATGAATAATATTGGTAATCAACAATTTAAACTCCATTGAAGTCATATATTTTTGTTTTGAACGGATTATAGAATAAGCAATAGCAAAAATTTAAATAACTATAATAATCACTGTCGTAATATTATTTTGACTTAGAAAATTTAAATCCAAACCACCGCTTATCGTTCAAAACCTCAAAATCGACCTATTGCACTTATCTGCAGGTTTAGGCTGTCGAGTTTAGAATTATTTATTTTGTACAATAGTTTTCCTGTGTTGGCTAACACAATTTTATTGAAGTAAAAACTTAATTCTAATATTTTCATATTGCTAGCTGTTGTCTTATGTTTATCTCGAACACCCGACAAATTGCACTCCACTCCTGCATATAGGAAGAACTAAAATGCTTCAACGTTTAATGGACGCTCATGCGTATTACCTTGGGTCTTGTAGAATTTAATCCGTAAGTTATCTTCGCGTGCTTAACCTAGCCCAACCCGACCTGGCACTTTATTATTGTATTAGAGCGGTCTTGGACTGTCCGGCAAATGACATTTTATCGCGTTCACGGCCGACTGTTTTACACGGTACAGCTGCAAACGGTTAAGCACGGTTGAAAGATAATATACTATAATATTATATTATATGGTAACGCGCCTTCTCTTTTGAAAGTCTATAAAAGCGGAATAATCACAATCTATAGGGTTGTGCAATTATTTTATTATTTTTTGTTCTTTTCAACGAGGCTACGACAATAATTGTTATTATTGTTGCTTCAATATACACCTTATCATTAAAGAGCTACCGACCAGAACCGCGCGCAAATACAATAATAATGATAATATGTGAAGAATATGTCATTAGAATGAGTATTGTACATGATATAATATTACATACACACACAGAACTAGTAAATACCGGTAAGGACTTTCCAAAACTCTGCGTGCAATATTTCATTACGGCAACACAGCGAATGACAATAAACTTCATAGGTAATATTATTACCTTATGCCTGTTAAAACAAAAATATAAACTCGTTCAATATACCTAATAATTCCAAACGAGAACCGTTGTTCGCATTAGCCCGGGCACCACATATGAAGCGGTTGACACTGAATAGACAAAATCCGACTTGATCCCACGACGCGTGACTCTGCAAGCTTAGGGTCACACCAGCTGTTATGCTTAAGATTAAGACGAAAAACTAAAATAAATAATGTAAAACTATACAGCTATGTAAAAATAAATGTTTGATGACACAGAAGCAGACAGGTCCTTAACTTCACCTACCCTAAATTTTTACAAACACCTATTTTTTAGCTTCGATACGATAGCTGTTATTTAACGACTAATGACTTAAACAATTTATATATAATAATTCATCATTGCCCAAAAAACTATTCTGACAAATTTTTTTTTTTTGTTATAAATTTTTTAAAACTTTCATGGATAGAACTATTCGCTTGATCATTTTCGGATCCATCCGTGTTGTCAATATTAACTACATAGATGACGTATCTAAAAATGATCAAGCTAATATGATTTAATAAAAAATATTTTTTTTATTATTATAAATTAATTCCGAAGTTATACGATTCATTTTTTAACATATTTTCTGTCATTGGGTTTCTATGGGACTTTATACAATTTACACACGCACTGTAAACTGCAACAAACGTATGTACTCTTAAATTTTTTTTTCTTGATTTTTATTTTCATTTTACGTTTGAAAACGCAGTTATGATTAAAACAATATTTAACATGTAATTTATAAATAAAACCATAGCTTTTATAGTGGTTCAAAAGTCAAGACTTTTCGTACTTAATACAAAAAGTACAAACACAAGTTGCTCTTCTTTGCTACGATTCGATGTACCTCTTGCACAAGTCATGATGACGGTTCAGACTTCGGTGTTAAATGGTCGGACGATTGTAAGGCACCGAAATCGTGGCAAGTGTGTGTATGTGTAGAATCTATACTGCGTAATTTTGTGTTATACGTCATGTACAGTGTACACGTATTGTATAGGTACATTCCAAGTATCTATGTGTGGTTCCGATCTTTTCAGCATGCATAATTTCCCGCTAACGTTTCTGGCAAAACAATGGCTCCCTACCGTCGTCGTTTTGGCCCATTTATAATATTATTATGTTGTATGTATGTAGTTACCGGCATGGCAGTGTTCGCGTACGTTGTCAAAAGCCTTACAACGGGCCACGTTAATGTGTTGCCATAATAGTCATGGCGATGATGTTGTATTATCGAAAGCTACGGGGGTGGATCGAGGCGAGGCCGTTCCTAATAATAATTTTAATAATCATTATTATTGAGTGAAAAGAATGACGATTAGAGCAAGTACCTTGTATAGTAGGCATTGCATTGGTACGCGTGCCGGCTTATATATACCTACAGCGAACCGTCTATGTTAATATAACGATATGCTAATATGTATCGCTCCACAGGGTAAAAAAATTTTCTCTCAAACGAGGGAAACAAAATTCACACTGAAAAATGCCTCAGATATGTTATTAATAAATAAAAAAATTAAACAATATTGGGATGACAAAAAAACTACAAAATATAAGGTGTCGTCTATAATTTGACAACAAGTAATTGTACGGTAAATTTACAATGGGAGGCCCGCAGATTTATGCAGGACAGAATGTGCACGCCAACTTGACCTCAAAAATATAAGGGCCAATTATTTACCAACAAATTTTAAGACCGGAATCATTTACATGCACTATAGGAGCAGTGTGTTGAGCATAGGAAACAATTAAAAGGCCACGACCAACAGCAGTAGTCGGGCCCGTGGGTCTTGAATAGAGAATAAATAAAATGGATCTGACATATTTTATTAATTGTATGTATTATAATACATTTTTTATAAAATTGCCCTACATTAGTATGCAATTTTTAAAGTAAGAAATACCTATAAGGCCTTCAATGATTGTTAAGTTCTCTTGTATTCTTTTCACGTTATTCAATTCACAAGACCATAGCATGGGCCCAACTATTGTGATTTGTGGCTATCATTACCCTGTACATTTTCCTAGGCCCTAAGCGCTGGTCTAATAGTTATTTCGGTCGTAGTGTTAGAAATAAATAAATGAACATCTGATTCAGATCATCTGAATCAGATGTTCATTTATTTATTATATTCTTTACAGACTTTACATTCTTAGAGACAAGTGCACATGTTCTTTCTGTTCTTGTAAAAATCTGGGGCCGTCCATAATACATAATATGTAAAATAATTTTAGACAACTAATAAACTGAGGGTTTATTTAAACTTGCAAATTTTTATTAATATATTATTGTTTGTAATTATCGCAAAAGTAAACATTATGTTTGTTTTCCAAACTACTAATTTCGTTAAAACTAAAAGTTTATATTTTGTAAAAATATTTTGCAATGCTCATATCTTATTTAATTCAATTATTTAATAATAATTTCATTAAATGAATCAAATATTTCTCATTGAAATACATTGTATTTAATATTCGATTTTTAAATAGTTATAAAAATGATATATTTGATTCAGCGTAAATTTTTCAGAATGGCCCTGCGTGTCTGAATGTCTAATTAATAATGAATATTTTAAATCGTAGTAGGTAGACAAAAAAAAATCTCGGGCTTTGCTAAAACATGAGCATATTACCGGTTGACGGCGCGGCGGTACTCACCATACACTCCTTTAATTAAGACTCCCATTGTGTAATACATATTATACACGTATCTTTTTCGAACAGACGGAATTTCCAAAATTGTTTGTAATACAAAAAAAACGTCTGATGGCATATTGACACATTAAAATGTAAAACTAGATTCTAGAACTAACGTGTAAATCAAGTACACTAGAAAACGGATATGACTCATCGGGAAGGAAACTTTTAAAATGTTATGCTTGCTAGAAAGAAAAAAAAAGTTTAACAAAACCTTCATTACTACTCTCCGTTAAGTATTCTCATTAGCAATACATTTATCACTGTTGAGGAAACGTATCAATTTGCAAGGAATAATTTCGTAGGAAATATTATTAGATGGGTAAAACCGACATTTTTGAAATAGGTCAAATTTACTTTTTGTTTTAAACTAACAGATTGTAAATTAAAAAAAATAATAATAATAAAAAGTAAATGGTACCGTTCTGTCACACAACATCCGAACATTACACACCCATTTCCAACTCGTCCTACTTCACTTTACTCTTTTTGCCCAAATATCTTCTTTGATCATTCCTGTTGTTTTGCACGACTGATCACATACTACATTTGCATTGAACTTGGGTTGTATATTTTTGTCACAGGCATTTACGGTACGCTGTTCAGGCGCAACAAAGAGGCGGCGTTCAGCAATTACCGGCTGTGGGAGTCTGCCGGGTTCGTGGTGGCATATGCTTACAGCACGCACCTGTGCGCCAGGAAGAAGCTGTACGTGATGGGCGTTGTGCTGGTCATAGGATTCGTCGGTTACATCATCGTGGAGATCAGGCACAGCATCAAAGCCAGGAGGCTCAAGAGGCTGGCCGACGACCCCAAGTCCGAGCCACTACCCGATGAGATTGTAAACGAGACGGACGACGAGAAGGACGACATTGACGATGAAATCATAGTGACACATTTATAAGAAAGAAAAAAAAAAGAAAAATTATAAATATTAACAGGTACGCATAGTTTTCATGTATAATACTACAACTCATTATTGTCGTAGCTTCCAGTGCCGTTGTTATTCTTTTTTTTCAAATCAGATTAGACCGAAGTTTTGATACTTAGGGTATACGAGGGTTAGGCGCAAAAACAAGACTCCCTATAGTATGAACGATGACTCTAATGAATTTAATAATGTCTAGTAATTATAGACCCATTGTCCTCAATTTGAAATGAGTCAGTCTAAAAATGAGTTGGCTTGATACCTTTTTTATTTGAAACAAATGAGATGATCAATCGCCAATAAAAATGCATATAATAATGACGAGCGTAGAAAATAAAAATTTAATAAAAATAAAAATCAATAAAAAATTATAAACATTTTTTTTTTTTTTAACTGAAGATATGTCAATAATGGTCTAGAGTTTGAAATAGCGGAATCAATTATCCAAAGAATTATTAGTTGAGGTGCATCTTTTAAGAAAGCTCAAATCTTAATTGTATTGTCCTAATAGTGTAATTATATTGCATAAATACTAAACAATTTTATATTTTTAATATAGTTGAAATATAACAACACACCACAGAAATTAATTATTGAGAACATTTTTTTTTTTGCAGACTTGGTTAGCACTGTGTGCTTATAGTGAAACCATCAAGATGCTCAGTTTCTACGGACGTCATTATCACTTTGAAGTAGAAAATAATATGAAATTATTTTAGTTTTATTATTAAAATTAGGACTCGGATCGCAATGACCTTAAAATTAGTGTAAACGTAGTACGCATACTACACTTATTACCAATATTCTTTAATTTATTTACCGCATTTTGTACATAGTATTTATACCACATCGTCAACATGAATTATGTATATTTACATAGTTTAAATAATATAAACATACATGTATAATTTAGAAATCGCCCTGTGCATATACAAGGCGATTTTATTGTTTTATAATTAATATAACAATAAAATAGTTGTTGTTATTATTATTGTACTATTGATTTTTTTTTTGTAGTAAAAGTGATCTAGATTTTAAAAAGAAAGAAAGTTTATTACTAACTATCAAGTAGGTAGTTTGCAGCTATGCAACATTCGATATATCTTGTTTAAGTTATTTATATTATTATTACTATATTACTAAATTTAGTTGATAAGTATACGATTAAATAGTGTAAGCACGATTATCGCGTAGTTAGTCAAAAATACTTTTATTTTACTTTACTTAAAAATATTTTTCAATCAAGTTAACGCTCCTCGTCCAAAAAGTATTAATTTTTATGGTTAAGTAGATAGTAAAACCTTTTTTTTTTTTTTGTAATTGTTGTTACTCTTTGCGCGTGTATACGATACACAAGCTATTTATACATATATCATTATTGTTTAATATTCGTATGGTAAACTAGTTGTATTATGTAGAAACGAAAAGTCGTAGGTATAATCCTCATCAGCAACAACTGTGATGCGATTTATCTCGTAACAAAAATGTGTATAATATTATATTAGATTGTATAAAAAAAATATACATATATATATGATAAAAACTATTGTGTTTTGTGTTAATGATTTTAATAAATATTAATAAAAAATATTAAAAATATGTTAAACAAAATGTGGTATGAAAAAATTCTAAACAATATGATTACAATAATCATAACGTATAGTATTAACCGTTTTCAGTATAATCATAAGTAAATACAAATGACTACGTCCCAACAACGATTATTGAAATTTGACTGAAAAATTTTAGCTAAAATAATTTATTGAAGTATTCGTTTACCTCAAGGTTGCACAACACTGTACTCAACCTCCATTTGTTGTGTACTGTTACCCACAAACTCCTCATTGTTATCACCTTTATTTATGTTTATCAATTGCAACAGCAATTTATATGACACGTGCTTTTGCCTTTTAATGTGCTCTTATTATAATTTAATATTCAGTGACAAAAACCTAAAATCCTGAATAATAGTAGTGAGTTAGTACGGTAATAAAAACAGTTATTAACAAGAATAATACTATGATAACTGTAACTATATTAAGCATAATATTATGAATTATGATCGATATAATATATTAAAAGTTCTCGCTAACAAGCAATAATGCAAGACTAATTTTTCCCGATTAACTCATAATAATTACTATTTTATATTGTTTACATGACTTGAGGTTACTACTTACGCTATTGTAGATTGGTTGACTACTGACTGTTAACACCATATCATATTATACTCGACGTCGACACTTTAAAGTTTATAATCTATAGCTTTCAATACTTACAAGCCAATATATTAAATGTTGTCGAAAAAATAAAAATTATAAAAATAGTTTAAATACAAATCATGTTTAAAGTACGTAACTTGTGCTCAAACGATTCCTGCAGCTTTCAGATTTTTAGGTTTTTTTTTGTGTTTAAAAATAAAAACACAGTGTAGATAAAATCGAATGTTATTTTAAATGTAAAATATTGACTTTTCGCCTACATGGTTAAAAACTAAATTATCGCAGTGAAATTAGGGGTGTACTTTTTTTTTATTGATTTATTTATTCTTTCTTGATGACCTTTAGAGTTTGGCCGTCAAAATTATTGTGACGTAGTGAATTACGCCGCTATATTATATTATAATTCATCACTTGATTATGTCGATGCCTCCAACATACCTTATTCAAAAGACGTTAATTAATAACAGTTTTGATGTGATATTGAAATATTCAATTGAATAATTATTTATTATTATTGTTTTTATCATACACGTCCTTATGCAAATATATATAGCATATATTACCTACATGAAATCGTTTAAGGTCAAAAGCATCGTCGTCGGTTTTCATATTAATATCGACAAGCCGATGTCAAACGAGATCTTTACATACATATAAATAACGTGACCCACCCTATATTAATTATAACGCGCAGTCGCCCAAACCAGTTATCGTCCTTGCCATTGGCCGGACTGGTATACTTATATGTATAGGTACAATAATATTCCGTCATTATAATATTTACAGCAACACTATATGCAGCCACGCGAATCGTTTTGTTCGAAATACCTTGTCAATTCTTTTATCTGCGATGACAATTTAATAATGTAGTTATTACTGTCTAAGAAAACAGCCGCGATGGTCACAATTGGGAACCGCTCGAGCTCTTGATTATAAATATTATGTAGAATGGGAGAGTGACATTATTTATAAAGTACATGCGAAGTATGTAGCTAAATAATATTAAGTTTTTTGAAATAAAGGTAATAAACGTAGAAACATTAGTAATACCGCCATTGACAATTGGTTTTTTAGAAACGAATTTCCTAAAAAAGGGGTTTGAAAAAATTAGTACATAGATAAATAATAAATTAGGATCTTTTTTTATTCCTTTTTAATAGTTTAATTGTTTTTTTTTTATACGATACGTTTAAAAAAAGTTGTTAAACTTATTATGTTTCAAACAGCAATCAAATGGTATTGTTGTATGCCTACTCAAGAAAGAACAATATTTTAAATACTATTAAGGTTTTATGATTACAAAATTCCTAAAGAAATGATCGGAGGTCTGACAAAAAAGTAACCTGGTTTCAATAACCATCTGTGATTATGGATGTATTGTATAATCACAATAATCGACGGTTTAAGTACTTAATGTACTATAAAAAAAACTAAATTTTTACAAAACGATGAGTACTTGACAAGTGATTTTGTAGGTACTCTTCTAATTATTCTTTGTAAAGTTCTCGCATAGATTTAACAACCAATCTGATCGAACCACATACCACTACAATTTACAATAAACAGCATGAGTGTGGACTAGCCCTCCGATTAAGTAAGTATGTACTATTTGCGAATACAAATTCCTCGGTTAAGTCTGTACGCATAATAACCCGATGTGATGGTGCCCGTCCCGCTATATTATAATAATTATTTTAAGTGTATTTATTTAACTTTTGAGAACGTCCACTCGAGCCACGCCTATCCGACGGATAGCAAAACCCTACTGCGACACGAGCACTTTATCTTACTCAACAAAATGCGATGGCGAACTATTGATATTGCCTGTATACTAAGTATACTATATTAGTTTTGTTCGCGTTTACCAGCCACAATACAGCTAATGTTGAACCTACTCTGCGGTTAACGAACGCCGTCGACATTAATGCTGCTGTATAGTGAACTCGTACAACGTCCGAGGTTTGATCCTAAATAATTCTTCATAATAAATATAAATACTAACATGATATTATAGTCTAACCGGACAACAGAAAACAATCAGCAAGCTGTAACAAAACACAGAGTACATCGCCTAAATAACAATAAAACAAGGGAAACACTAACGATTTTTTTCTTCTGGTTTTCCTTAATAAAAATAAGTTTGATTGTAGAGTTTTAAGAAAATTGCTTATGTTATGGCCCCATTCTAGATCTACGTTATTATTTTTCAAACCTTAAACCTTAACAATTCTTCTAAAAAAGCTAAATAAAGAAAAAGTTTCCACCCCTTCTCGGCGAAAAGGTTTATCGTGTTTGTTTTTGTATATAATACAATACATTTACCATGTAGATATAACTAAAATTATAAATTTTTATGTTATTTTTCAACGATAAGTGCTTTTAATTTCTTAGTGAAGTATAATTTATGTACCAAAGACTATCTTGCGCGCTGAATGCTACAAGTTCCTTCTTACTATATCGGTCACTCGAGTAAGACGAGAGCGTGGTTTCTCGAAACCAAAATATGTTAAAACTTACTATAGAAAAATATAGGAGTACGAAGCAGTACCTTGTCACCGTAATGTTACTCGAGGATATCCGATATAAATGAGTAGCAGTAGCACAGCTTTGAATGTAGGTTTCTGGCTGAGTATTAGGTCCAGGTCGAAAAACAATTTTTTATTATAATTAAAAGTTTTTATAGTTGATTCCAAGTACACTATATTATTTTGTATTTATTTGGAAAAATAAACTCTTAAAGTTGAGAAAAATAATGTTTTATTGGTCTTTCTAGTAGGTATATTTTGACTTAAGATATAATATATAATAAAATATGTATAAATCATTATTTTACATGATTTGTGTCAATCATTGGTTAATTTTAATGGAGACAACAATGTAAAAAAATAAGTAAATTATTTAGATATTTTACTAGAATCCATTATAGTCCAAATTCTACATTAACCGTGATTATAAGTACAGTGAGTCTGGGTACCTCTAATTAGCGCCCTTTAATTTCAAACAATAAATAATTAATTTAAAACACAATTTACTTGGCTCAAGTATCAATCAAGTTAAACGTTTTATGAATTAGCAGGGACGCATAAAAATAATATGCACAAATCAACCTGTAAAAATGTTTAATTAGTAAAACGTCAGAAGAAATATTGGCAAACAAATCCAGCTTAATGGGGCTGTGGCATGGTGAGATCAGTCGACGGAGAAGTCTGAAGTCACAAATATTTAGCAAACAAAATAACTTAACTTAATAAACTGAAGGTGATAAAATCGTTGGGACAATTATATTATTCTAAAAAAATTTAACAAAAATGTTTTTAAAAACTACTACAAAATTACTAAAATAATTTTGTATTAATTTTGTACATTATAACGTATAATTGATCAGCCTGAGAAAATCAAAAATACCAAAAAAATCGTGGAAAGGCAATATTATGTTTAAAACTTTATTTTAATATTGTTAGGGTGAAAGTTGAAACAATTATGGTTGGTCGTCTGTCTATAACTTTATTCAGATTTGGAATAAATCATTATATTTACTTTACATTCAATTAACTGTTCTGTCAGCAGTTGTCTGTTGAAATTGGTGTCTTGTGAGATAATCATTTTTTAACCACTTACATTATTATATTGCCAATTAGTAATGGATTTTTTTTCCAAAATTGAATACATTTAGTACAAACAATTCATAAAATCATTATTTACATTATTAAATGTGCTTTTATACAATTTAATAGGCCCAGACTCCAGTGGCATGCGTAATATCATAAACAACAAATAATCTAACATAAAATATAAACATTTTATTTCATTATTTATAATGTATATTTTATAATTTAATAAAATACAAATTAATAAGCTATAAAGTAAAAACAAAATACCGATTTCTGTTTTTATATATTATTATAATATAAATATTTATAAACAAGCGCTGTATTATAATACTATGCCACTTTTTAATTTATTATACTACATGCTCTCGTTCCATATAAATCATGTTAGTCCGACTCATGTATGAAAATATCCAGTAGACGACGTATAAAGGTTGCAGATCTATAATTATTATCCGTTACATTATAAAACAGGAACTTATTCGCAACTTAATTATAATTTTGTTATTATTAGCCTAAGTAATATATGCATACTTAAACCATAATTACATTGTGTATGTCCTTGAAAATAACACAGAAAATGTAACATATATAATTGAACCATTTCTTGCTAAAACAAAACTTAGGTCTTATAGCTACTGCATCGCTAGACCAACAATGCATGGTTAATTTATATACCACGAATTTAAATATACTTACCTACAACATTAGTTGGATTATTTCAAGTTAATTTCTAAGAACAACCTGATTACAGACCTCTACAACGAGTACTCATGGTGTGTTCTTAATAATCAAACTATATCCCTACTGCGCTGGTATTTTTTTACATGATAATATATGTAAATATACGTTTCTATATTATAAAATTATGTATTAGTTAATTTCTGACTTCACCCAATAAAATTCACACGCTAATTATATATCGAGATAACATGACAACGATCATAATTGCAATGTAATTATATAAATTGAATGCCATAAGACATGCAACTGACAAATATTAGTTGTGCTGGAATAATCGCTCGAGCTGCATAATTATTGACTAATACTTATTATTATTAGTAATCGTTCAACGGTACAACGTTTGCTTAAGTAATTATTTTCTATTGAAACAAAAAATAAAAAAAAGGTTACACAATTATGGTTGGCTAATTTTTAATTTAAAAATACGCTTTACTTTGGGTTTGATTAGTTAATTGTTTGTATACAAATCTTAACTGATTTGTATATTTCTAATTGATTCGTCCTTGCATGCGAATCACGACCAAACAAGTAGTGGTGGCTTTAGTCATCATTTGTAACGTTATTAAATGAAGCTTTTACGAAATAGCTTTAAAAGAGGTACTCTAAGAATATCAAAACTGAATAAAGCCACCAAAAGCGTACTCTTTTTTTATTCAAAATTATCATTTTACCTCTTGTTTATTCTAATATAATTGCAAATAAAACTCAATCAGTGTTTGGATTATTTACACACTGGTATTTCCCTGCTTAGGTCACTTATTCAATCGAAGCGAGTGTTCTGTAAATGTGTGATCATTATTTAACTTCTAGTCTGAAGACAGTTGTAAAAAATTTCTCCGAAGTTAGAACAGTTATAATCCTATTAGATTGATATATTACAATAGTAATAGTTGAAACGGACTATAACCCGTATTTTTAATGTAATATATATATATATATATATATATAGGATTTTGTCATAATAAAATAATTTTTTTAAAAAAAATTCTCAAATGAATATTAAACGTGAATATTATAATACCACATTTAAGGTCAACAACTTTTCAAACTGTAGGTAACCGCACGGTCAAAAATAAGCACAAACAAAATAATGTCTACAAATATAAGTTAGTTACGCAAAATAATATTTTGTTTTTGCAGGTCGTTTTTTCGCTTTGCTGTTATTTACGAATATCCATTAAATCAATCATATTTATGCTAATACGAGTAATTGCATTAAATAAATATATACTTAGGCATACCTATATTAGGTCATAATATGTCAATTTATAAAATAAAAAATTACTGTCCTTAAAATCATTTTTTTTTATACATATATACGTATACTGTTGACAATTTATTTTGCAAGGTATCTATATAAAATAGTAGGTACTACTCTCGAATTTTTATTACAGGCAAATATCATAATATATTAAAATATTAAAAAAGGCTTGAAAGTTGTTAATCTAAATAGTTTTATAAGCAAGTAAGATATTACCTAAAATAACTTAAAAACTTGCACTAGTCCTTAATATTGTCTAATAATAAAAATAAAAATCCAACTATGTAATAAATGCAACTATGGCATTATGGAATTATTTCATTTAAGAAAAAAAGTACACTTCACTATACTAAAAAAGTACTTGATAAAATGTATACTAAAGTTCCTAAAAAAAATTTAGTTAAAAACCTAATCACTGAAATGTTCATCAACGGGAAAAATATGACGTAATTTTATAACTTATAGTAAAATGACAAGAAAGCGTGGATACCAAATGACAATTTAAATTTTAGTAAAAGATCACTTGTGTTTGCCTATCCCATGCCCCTTAAATTTAACCGTAATATGTAATAATTCAATTGTAATTATTATTTTATCAATTATACATTATTGTTGTGATTAAAATAGCATTAAAATGTAGTTTTATATTATAAATAATTTAGGCAGAACATAAAACTTGAGTTTCAATTCACACATTAGCATTTAATTACTAAACTATACTTAAAATTAATAATATGATACGCACTGTTAAAATATGTCAAAATATAATATTTACATAATATGTAGAAATCGGATTAGATTTAAGTCTATTGTAATTTCACTAAGATGTCTAAGTCATTCGTTTGTAAAGATTTATCCTCTACTTTTGTAATTTGTTCGATTATGATTTAAAAAAAGAGAAAATTTGAAAGAATAAACTATATCAACTTCTTTATGTAATTTACAATTGAATAATAACTTTTTTCTATAAATATAAAATGTATTTAAACAACATTAAATAATACAATAACAAGATTAAGTGCGTTCTAAATTTGTTAAATAAGTTTTTAACTGGTTGTAAGATATAATTATAATCTGCCAAAAATAGGAAGAACTAAAACTCATTATAATTTATTATTATGCACCTTGTTTTAATTTTGTTGGAAAATCGGTTTGAGAAAAGGCATACTGGTTTACTTTAAGGTGTATCTTATATCATTAAAATGAATCCTGTTATGTTCCTTATTCAATTAAAAATTAAATGATTATAGTAAGATATATTTTTTTAAATAACAATTATGAGATAGGCTAAAATGTACATGTCAACCTATTATTTTATTGTAATTTATCGATTACATGATTAATAAATTATAAATAATACTTACATAACTGCATTTTGACTTGAATTAGAAATAAGTTTTAACTATGCAAATATATTGATATTTGTATAAGTAGATTGTACAACCAAGATTAAATAAACGATAAAATGTTGCATAATTTTAAATTGAAATAAAACAACCATGTCTGAAGAAAATTTAAAAATTGAATTGCAGTGTTTATAATATTTCACTTAAGAGTACCTAATTTGTTTTATGATAATATATTTATTTTAGCTAAAAAAAACTTGAAGAAATACATTATACCATGTTTAGTAAATAAAATTAAAATAAACATTACTTATTAGTGTTCATGATCAGTAGTTTTTCAAAGGGTAGTGTTTAAGTGTAACCTATTAAAAATCAAAGAGCAACTGAACTTCCATATTATGTGGGAAGTAACTTGACACTTATTTTATTGAGTTATAATACTTATTTTTTTTAATTTACAAATATTTTGCAACAAAAACTAAAATGTATTGTTTTAAGGAGACTTTTCTTTTACTGAATCAGAATTCGACGTTTGATTTGGTACAACAAATCTGGTTTTCTGAAATAACCACTAATCGTGCAAAACCTGTTAATGAAATTGGTATTAAATCAACATTTTCAAATAACAACTGTTACGTAGTAATCAGTAAAAAACATGGAATATTCTAATTCCAATTATTAGCGATCGTTGTGAAAAATGTCGTACTATAAAATGTCCCAAGCAACTTTTGATAACAGGTTTAGTTAGGTATATATATGTTTCAGACCATTTAGAAAATTCCTATTACCAAACTGAATCATATTGGGAAATAAGTAATAACAAACAAAATTATTTCCTGAAAAAAAATACAAAATTCCTTAATATTTTGGTTTTTAGTCAGAAAACAACTAAAAACGTCAAACTAATACTTTTAAATTCAGCAGATAAAATTTTTGAGGAAACACACACTTTGTATCAATGAGCAATTTATTATGTTCATGATAAAGTAAAAATATACAAAAAAAAAAAAACTACACGACAGTTAATCATTTTATAATATTATACGTATATTGGCTTTAATACAAAATAATATATAGGTACTTGCGCCATTTGCCTGAGTACAATATTAAGACAAAAAAAAAAAAAAAGTATAATCGTTAATACTAATAAAAAGTATATAGTATAATAATAATAATAATTAACTAAAAAACTATATAATGATAAATTAAATTCCCTTATTTTTGGTTTTAGGTTATAAAAATCCGGTATATCAACAGTAGTTACACGTAGGTAATTGTGTAACCACTAAAATATATTTATAACAAAAAAAAATATAGGACAATCACAATAAATAATTAAATAATATATAATATGTATATTATAATAATTTGTGTATTATTATGTAATCAATATCAAGTCTGTTTCAAAAATAATGCATGCATGCCCGATACATTAAAAACAATTTTGTAAAATAATAGATAATATATTTATTGTCTACAATGAAATTTATTTTTTGATAATATATTTTTACTCATTTGAAAATTACGGATAATCTAGTGGGGTAATAACGTAGTAATCATAATATGAACTTTGTTGTAATCAAAAATAATTTAATTCGAAAATTGTAAATTTTATTAGAAAAAAAAATATATCTATGTGAAGAATTTATAAGAGTACAATATTTGTTTTCAATTAGACTTCAGTTGAAATAATCATACTACCAGCTTTATTTCAAGTAAAACGAGCAAATAAATTTTAAAACTAAAAAAAAAAAATTAAATTTGAAAAAAAAAAGTGTTTAACCCCAAATTGGAAGTTGTTATATTATATTATTAATTAAAAAATACAATTTTGTTTTATCACAGAGTATAATAAAATAACGGTAAAAATATTGTCTATAGTATTAAAATCTAACACTTAACTAAATTTCCGGTCCAAAGTAATAATAATATTTTATCATAATAATAATAACTAACTAAACAACAGAATATCATTTATCACCTACATATAATCCTCTGCGGCATGGAAGGAGGTACGTTTTACTAAAATAATATAACATGTTAATCAAAATTCAAACTCACAAATTGTGCGCTTTATCATTATTAGGTACGCTTAAAAATTAAAAATTAAAAAACTTATAAAATAAATACAAATCCGGTTATTTTTCGGTACATGGCTTTCACAGTAGTTGTGGAGACTCGAGTTGTTATCGTTTTAAAAATTTAATTAACTAAATAGGTAAACACATTTGAAAAGAACACTCTAGTATATCTAAATACTAGTATCATAATATTTCATCTTAATAAACAATAAGCATATTAAATCGAAACTATAAAGAAAAAATTATTTTTCTACACTCATTTTGCCACAAAGAGGCGTTTTCAAAATAATAGAATGTAACATTAACCGCGGTCGATACTCACAAGTTGTGCGTTTCGATTATTTTGGTACAACGATAATTAGAATTAAGTTAGGTATACATTCTTATTATATAGTTAAACATTATATTACATTATAATTATTATTAACATTGTATAAGATAAATATTATACGAATCCGGTTTTTTTGCTATAAAATGGCTTTTGGAAATAATTAAAAGTAGACTCGAGTTATATACATTATTGTTATTATTATAACAATATAATATAGTTTAGTATTATTATTATTATTAAGTTTACAATAAATTAATTAATTTTAAAAAATCGGTTGTTGTTCGGAGAGAACGCTAACGAGACGATTCGCCCATCGTCAACGGCCTAAGCTGACCAGATACGGAGATCACAGAATAATAATAACAATATTTATTATCATTATTATTGTTGTAAAATAATATAATAATTAGAAACGTTTAACACTAACAACAGCTATGGAACCCAGCTTTTTTTTCTGTCAACCTTAATCTTTTTGTTTTTACTGTTCGATGTTCTCCTAAAAATTACAATTATCTTAAACTAATAAAATAAATATGTTTTCGTCGCCTTATTTTCGGCCGGGAGTTGAAGTGATACAGCGGTTCAGCGCGCTCTGTTCGATTCGGCCGAGGATCCTGTTGATCACTGTCAAACGTACTTCGAGGCTAGTGTTTGCTAAAAGGTCCACCTTAGCGACGAAAAACAAAAAAAAAGTGGCTATTAAAATCACATGAAACGGCCATAAATTGCAATCCAATAGTAGGTGTATAAAGAACAAATCGTTTTTTTTTTTTTAATAATAAAACGATGTCACCAGGTTGAGGAGCCACACTTACAAATACCTATTTCAGCTTAGTCAATATAAATAGTGTTTGTTAGGTTATATTATATTCGTTTGGATCGTTTGCAACAGATCTAGAGTTAAAATAAGTTTTTGACAAAGTTCGCCAAAATTTAAAAAAAAAAAAACCTATTTAAATTTAACTTTTTTATGTTTGAAAAGCTCGTGGAAAACACGTTTACCAATACATAACTAATTTATTATTGTAACATCGGAAAAGTCTGATGTAATGATGAAAACGAGCACAAATTATATAAAATTAATATCAAGGCAGGTTTGTCGACAGCTTTGGCCACATTGGGCAAACCACGTTATTGACATTGCTCTTGCGTCACATTTGTGTTTCTGACGACTAGGGTCGCATGAATTGCGTCGCGTGCAACGGCCGTCCGGTGGGGAGCCACCTATGCGGCAGGTGGCTTACATCACCGGCGTGTGCACAGCGGGAGGGCTCCGTCGATGGCGACCGTGAACCGCTTACCAGGAGCCCGAGCGGTGCATGGCAACGGCCCGCAGATTGTGCGCGGGTTCCCGGTACTGGCGCACATTTGAGCGATGCCGGACCAGGGTAACAGCGGCACGTTGATTTGACCGTCACGATGATACTGGTACGGCTAGGTTAGCCGGTGTACGGTCCAGGCTCCAGCTGCCTACGCCAAACATGGGCTCCTAATATTGTCTAATCGGTTATTGGTAAGCGAACGCTCTTTAGCGAACATCTTACTCCCCCCCCTCACCTTAAACTAGAACACCAAAAACGCCTGTCAACAATTATTAAATTATTATTGTACAACGATAATAAAATATAATTGTCGTTTTCAGTAACACCCGACAAACTCGAGAAGGGAAGTTTTCGTTTTAAAAACTTAACGAACGATCCGAAAATTTACGTTAGACATAATCCAATTATTTCAACAATATTGGCATGACTTGTATTAGCCACGAAACAAAAACTAATATCGTTACTAACATTTCCAAACGATTAATTGATTAGGTAACAGGTCGTTTGAATTTAATCGCCTCCGTACAATTATTGTTCTCGACCAAGGTTACGACATATTATACAAACAGCTGACGTTATGTACTGAATAACGTACGTGCCCAGTTTTTAATATATTTACACCAGCTATTACGGCATACTTACATAAAAGATAGAATAATATATAACACGTTTCAAACAGCGACGGTAACGCGATAAGACGGAAATTACCAATACAAAATAGAATCTTAATTACCAAATACATTATTGTATATTATAATGTATAAAGAGCGAAATCACCCTAAGTAGACACTTCATGTTTTATCCAGAGAAACAGTACCTCCTCACTAGGTTTATAGGGGAAATATAAATTAAAATGTACTTAATACAAATAACTCACTCTACCTTCTGAACAATGAACCAAACAAAATATTATTAGAACTTGCATGTAGCATTTTTAGTTAAAGTAGAAAAAAATTATTAACACCAAAATCCGTTTTAGGAAATCGAAAAACATTATTTCGAATTTATATACTGGATATTTTTTTTCTCGAGATCATTATATTAAATAATAAAAATTATTGAAAAAACTTCACCGCCACTTTTAGCCTAAAAAAAATATATTTCAAAACAAAGTTGAAAATCTCAATGGGGTGAGTATAATGCGTTATAGCCACACTTTAAACAACATAATATTTTTGTTGCTATTTTCGGAGATCCCACGAGTGACTAACACTTGAATTCATTTGAAAACTTTTAATTTTCATTGAATTTGCATGCGGAAGGTACAACACGCTCTTAATTTTTTTTTTTGTTCACAGTTCTTTATATTATATGATTTGTCTGATATTATTTTAGATCTTATGTTGCACAACCTAAACGTTTTAACTACAATCATGAGGGTTTATATGATGAATCCCTGTATTGTCAACCCGGGACAGGGGTGGGGGTTATAGACGACCTTGGGCAGTGGACACAAACGATTTCCTTTCTCAGTGTACATGTGTGTGTATATTATTTACTATTAGTATTGACTCACATGAGCGTTCAGCCCCAACGGCAACAACGACAGTAACCACCACATCCACGCCGGCCCGTCGTCGAGTTGTTCCCAGTTGTCTTCAAGTTCTGGTGGGAATCCGACGGTCCTGAGTATTTCCAATTTGATTTCGTGCCGAAAATCGTTGAACCATTCCAGTCCACGTCGACGCGTGTTGTCGTGTAAACTTCTCAACTCTGGAGGTAGACAAAAATACAACAATCAGTATAAGCGAATATCGTCAACGAAACCCAAAGGAAGCGTGACCGGAACTGACCGGCTAATTTGGTTTCCGGTACTATTTCGTCCCGTATGAACTCCACTTTTGCCATGTCGTAACCGTCGCGTTCTTTCCTGCCTAACACCTTGAACCTCCTAGTGCCGATGGTGGACAAAAACGAGCAACCGTTGCCAGTCATCAATCGATCCTTGATTTCTAACATGGTACCGAACTGGGCGAATCTGAACAAGTAAAGCAAATCGGTTAATATAGTCCATAAGACCGACAATGAGTAAATAATATATAGATTGGAAGAAACAAACTACCTGATTCCGAATCAACGAACCTTGAATGAGCTGGTAAATATTTGGTATTGAGCCAAAATTATTGGTTTTAATGGGTTTATGCACACTAAAATAACCTCAACTGGGTTAGACTTTTTTAAACGAAACCCGGGATGTTGCCAACTTTTCGAAACATTGTCGGTTCACTGCTATGCTACTAAGACTCTTGTTTGATCATCAATCATAGACCAAGACGAGCACTAAAACCACAAGTAATAGGTCCTCGGTTCGAATCGTCAAGCCTTTCAGTTTAGGCAATAACCTGGGATTTTTTTTTTTAATAAATCTCGGTCGAATTCAGTTTTTTTGTGTAAGCTAAAAACCCAATATTTTTAGTTAAATACCAAATATTTGTTGGACTTAAACAAAAAAACCAGCTGGGTTTTTTAAGCTTCGTTTGGAAATTAGTAACGTTCTTAATGGTCCATTTATCATATTTTGTACTCACTTCATGGGTGGGCGACAATGACTGATCATGGCAAAACTACGCGAACCCGAATCTATGCATCGTCTTATCATCAACCGGTAACGGGGCTCGAACACGTGCAAAGGACAAGAGACCGACGGAAACGCATTGGTGCACACAAACACGGGCAAGTACATGCCGTCCTGTATTTCCATTTCCTTTTTCCAATTGGAAATCAACATCAAACGGTTACTGTTATGATAGACGTTGATCAGCTCCTCGACGAACTCGGTGGTGTACTTTTTGCTTAACGCCAAACTCTTTACAAAAAAAAAAAAAAATGTAAATATTCAAGTTAGTTCGATCAAATCGACAGCACATAAAAACCAACTAAATGAATTCCAATTAAGGGTTATTAAATAGATTAGGTAAGGTATGTATTGAACTTACCGGCGGTAATGATGTTAAACACAGAGGACAATAAAAACTGTAGTCGAAATTGTGTTCCAGGCACTCCGTGCAGTAGGTGTGGCCGCAAGCAGTGGTCACGGGGTTTAGGAGTTTGCCGCAACACAGTACACAGTCAAAGTCCGATTCTTCCAGTAAAGATTTGTTGACAGTGAAATGATCGAGTTCTTCGTCCGCCGATGAGTGATCTGAAACAGGAGTATCGGAAAATCAATAATGCATTTATGACAGAAAGGTCGACGGTGGAACAGAATATATTTTCTGCGAGACAATCAATTAATAAATCAGAGGACTAGGAGAGTAAAGTGACTATAGCTTTTGCGGAGTACAATAAATATATAGTGTTTGGCTTACATTTGTTGTTGGAAATTTCGGCAAATATTTGTCGGACCAATTCGGTTATTGAACGGGTCTCGCAGAGCTGTCGGACCACAGACTTGCTACAATTGTCTTCCTCTTTTTTCTGAAACCGATTAATCATATTTTGTCATTTAACAACTGCAACTGAAGCAAACGGCCGTTAACGCGTATCGCTTACCTCGAACGAGTTTACTGGCTTTTCGAATTTGCCCGGACCGCCGATGGCTGTGTTCAAATAGGCCAAGTACCCGTGAGTTATGAAATCCCAATTTTCCAACTCTGGCGTTTCCATCTCTTTGCTGTACATTACCAACAACCGTTGTAGCACCTCGCTGATGTGCGGTTTCAGCTTCTGGAAATTTTCACCGAACATTGTGCTCAGAGAGAACTCGAACAGAGCCTCTTGGTAACGTCCCAGCAAGTACAAAGCAGTGCCCCGCGTAAAATGGCCCTTAACGAGAAAATAACAACAACATTAACATCATAATCAGAGATCGTCGGTGCTGTCGAACGCATACCTTGAACCATTTAGGTCGCATCTGCACTACTCGATCGGCGTCCAAAAGAGCGTTTTCGTTGAGTCCTAGTTTTATTAGTGTTCTGGACCTCATGTTCAACAATTCGTAGTTTTCACCACCTGAAATCAATAACAAAATTGAATTTAGCAAAATGCGATAAACACAATGCAATTTATTCACATGACAACACTCGCACAAAATATTTCCACCCCACCTAATCCTACAATTAATATTAGCAATGTTATGTTAGGTCAATTATTCATTAACACTAAAACGTAAATCTGTGATAGAATAGCAAAAGTTGATATGACACTTTTCCAACGTCGGGAAAAGACAATTAAAACTGTTAATTGGTATTGAAATTCTAAAAATGCTTGTATTGGAGGTATCATAAAACACATTTATAGGTCCTCTTAACACATGTTTTTTTTAAATAGTGACAAATATAAATTAACAAACTAAAACTAATAAATCAAACGTTTAGGCAGGCCGAGTTTTATAATATAATATGTATGTATACAATAATACTCTGTTTAGATACCGAGTTTGGAGAGTGACGCAATTATACGCACTTACCTATACATGTATATTATATCGACGCCCTCTAGTGGGTTGCGCCAACCCGTATTATCCAACAAAACCTCCTTGTTATGTATGTTTTTTCATTTTATTCATAGTATTGCTTAAACTTATATAACTCGCACTGCTGTACTTATAGCTTATGTAAAAATTAACCGAATTATATACCATCGGTGTCCCATGCAGGCCTCTGGCGCATACCTATTATACACGGATAGCAAATATTATTAATTATTATTATACCAAACGCACAACCTTCTTTCTTAACCCCTTTCTTCGACCCACGAGGGTCAGAGTGTGTACCGAATTTGTATTTATATTGAGCAACCGCAAAGTTGACATATCTACAATTATGATTTGATATGATAGCAATTAAATCAATTACACTGTACAACCAGATTTTACAGCACGAACCGAAATACACATATTTTCGTTGCTAAACCAAAATCTGTCATCAGATTTTCAATAGAACATTTAGTTTTTTTTTTTTTAATTCGCTCCCATAGTTGTAATAAACACCGTTTTGTGGTATCTTTAGTGTTTTTGTATGACCAAAAAAATACATGTATTCAACATGTTGTCAAAAAGTTTATTATTGTATTAAAAATATTTTTAAACAATGTTTTAGTGAGAAATTTAATGTTTAACAAATAATATTAAACAAAATGTTGTTTGAATATTTTTCATAATATTTAAAATATAAGTAAAACATTGAAAATATATATATCCATAATACTTCAAGATTTTGTAAATAATAATGATGAATCATCTCCTGCCAATACATTAAATACATATATATATATATATATATATATACGTATATATATATATTACATTATATATATATATATATATATATATATATATATATATATATATATATATATACATATGTTTAAGTTTAACAATAATTGTTTACGACATTTTTGAAATTAATATTTTTTTGCTCTACCAGGCTTCAATGATTTCCTAAAAAAATTTTAATTTGGGATTCTATTAAATTTTTATTGCTGAATTCATAAGTGGTCTCAAACTTTATGTAGATTTTTTAGGGTTCTCAAAATATTTTTTAGAGTGCCCAACCTGAGTGCTGTAGCATTGTGTTCGAGCACCTGGACGGAAACCTTTTACATTATTTTTTATTTTATTAAATATTTTGTGCGTGTGTTCATGCAAACGACAGCTTGAAGACTCCCACCACTAAGCCTAATGACACACGAATTGTTAAACGACCAGTGACGTAAAGTCAATTGGGAGATGTCTAGAAGGCACGCATGTTTCAAGTTGGAAAAAAATAGTTGACCTCAAAAACCTCATTAAGCCGTGTAATATGATTGAGTAAATGAGTGATTGAGGGCAGATAATAGAAAATATATATTGTGTTTTTGAAGATTATCGACGTTAGGGCAACATGGGGGCCGTGAACATCCAAATCGATGACATAATTACTAACCTAACAAAACAAAATCTTAATACTGTGTCCAGGGTCGAATTCTTGACAAGACTCTCATTGTATGTTTACAAAAGGTATTATGGCCAAATTTGTTTAATGATAAAATGGACGAATTTACATTTTCCCTATTTTGTAAAACAATTTTAATTGTATGTAACCTTGCCCCCATTACCCCTTCCTGGCACTTCGTTATGATAGACGAGAATGTTTTCCTCTTTCGCTCGGATTTTTTAATGTTAATTTTTGCAAATCTTATTTTCTTCTCGAGTTTTCCTCGCGTTTGAAAGTCTACACCGAGGACAATGACACTGGGAATGACGGGCGAAATAACACACACAAACAGCAGCAATAAATATAAATAAAATAACAAGGCGCTATCAATTCGACCGGCGCACGGTGCACCGGAGATTATTATTTAGGTGAAAGCGAACCGCTGCACTGTGTAATATGTTGGGATGTGGTGGTGGTCTGTGCAACGGCTGCGACCTGGATGTTGTGCTAAAAAAAAATATAGATATATATATATATTCTGATTTTAAAATAAACGTGAAAAATGCACGCTTTCGGCCAACATTGACCCACATTGTCTAGGAGAACGCGTAACGCAAATCACAATACATGTTAACACGTGTAATAGGCCAGGCGAGCGCGGTTTGCAGCTTCGGTGCGTAGCTATTTTTTTTTCTATTTTTTGTTCCCCTGCTCTCCGTTTGAAAGACATTTAGATCTTACCTGTTCGTTTTTGTTTGTTTGTTTTTTTTTTTAAGGTCAATGTTACTACTACAACTTATGCGTAACGGACGGACGGCTTTGGGGGTTTCGCTCGAGGAAAAAAAAAAAAGAACGAGTTACGCCCGAGTCGAGCGAATCGTTTTCCTTTAGTTTTCTCGGCATTTGTTGTTTTTTTTTTTTACCCTAAGTTTTTCAAATTAGTTTTTTGTGAAAAAAATATATATATATACATGTATAGCAATTAAATTACATTCGTACATATTAGCTGATCGCGATAAAAACAAAACAGGCTACGCGGTCGACCGATATCATATACATTATACACACGTTACATAACGACTCGACTTGGCTCAAACAATACTATACACACAGACATTTTCAATACGATATCGTAGAGCTAATTATTATTTATCATTTTTAATGTACGGTTGCGTGTTCCCCCTCACACACACCCTACCGACCCATCTGTGTACCGTCTCTCTCATCAACCGATAACGCATAAAAATGTCCAACTCGCTAATTGCCCTTAGACGATAGGTCCCGTGCTCGTGTGTACACATTACACGCAGTGCATTGTGTTCGATTAGCAATCGTCAACGAAACGAATTCGCCGCAAACGACATAATATAAAAATCGTTACATAACATATACCGTGTACCCACTACTACCACAAGGTGATCCACATATATAATAATAATAATAAGACGTTACAATATTATGTTATACAATCGTTTTTCTCCCCCAGAAGAACCGCGGCTAAAGGCGTTTAGCCGTGGTAACATAACTCCGGAGATAATAATTATTATTGTTATTACTTACTGCATCATATCATATCATATCATATTATTCTAAGCGTGTCGCCAGAGTATTTTTATTTATTTTATTATACATAATTACGTCTGAACTACAATTTCCGAACAAAAGAAACAATTAAAACAATAATTATAATTTATAGATAATTAAAAATACCTAATGTAATTTTAATTTTCAAACTCCAATCGGAGCTAAAGGTCACGCCGGCTTAAATAACAAAAATACCTATTGCAATGTTATGTAAATGCCCATGTAATACTTGTAATTGACAATCATAACGATGACATCATATTACAAATTAAATATCAACACAAATCCACTATACCTACAGGTGTAATACATTTGTTTAAAATATAAAAGATTCTTTGGTTTATCTTCAACAAATAAATGTTGACTCAGTAAATCATCAGTTTAATTTTTCAGTCGTAAAGTCAATAAACTTCCCACAAAAAGCGAAATAAAGAATAATAGTTTTCACCACTTCTTGGGAAAACGACTTAAGATATTTATTTGGTTTTTAACTGCATTTATTTTCGTTATTTTCGGACAGACATTTTGTAATGGTGTAGCGGGTTACTCAATATTAAATTAGGTTAGTTACGGTTTAACTATAAAGAAAAAACACCAATTTTTTTTTTTTTTTAAGGAACAAGTAAAAACAAAGGCGTAAAGGCTGTATGTAAGTTGTGGTGTTATTTTCCCCGTACATATTATATTGTAATGAAATCGCACGATTTTCGTTAATCAGTAATGATTTCGAGGATGTTTTTTAGCCACGCCCGTCAAAAAAAATAAATAAAAAGATAAAATATCGAATATTAAAACACAGCTCAGCCCAGCTGATCGTCACAATTGCGCGAAAACCTTTCTAAGTAATTCAAACGAAAACGATAATATTAATAATCAAATGATATCCCGAGTTCTGTGAAATATTTTTTTTTATCTAGTTCACAGTCATTTGCGCAACTATTTAAAACACAATTATGTAAAGAGTACGTCGACCGTGCACGACTTGGCATACTTGAATGGAGTCCAAAGTGGTCTACTATTTTATTTTATTTTATTTTTTTGGAAAGAATAACAGCTCTTGTCGAATAACTAATTGGCACTGCCTTGGAAATTGGTCAACAGTAGTAAGCGCCTACTACTTAAGAATACCGGAGGACATCATTCTTTTATTTTTATATATGTAGTTTTCAAGTTATAGTACCTAACAGGTAAACGGTTAACGTCGTTGAAGAATTAACTTTTTCCCCAAAAAAGGTGGAAACTTTTTGTTTACTTTTCTTATTTATCGAGGCCACTTTTTTTTTACTTTTTGTAAGAAACTTAGGCTATAGGTAGATTTAGTGTGCACTTATAACGGCATAATATATAACGGGTAATGTTACGCACATCAATAAGGTAAACAAAATTGCATTATAACGCTCTTTTGGGTGCAATGTCGACCGCGAATCTAAAGCAAAACTAAATGGGGTTTGCTTCGTGAATATAGTTAGACTACCTACATATTTTAAGTATAATATATAACAAAAGGTAATATAATTTTCATTTACAAAAAAAATAAAGTGTGTGTATACACAATACAAATACATTCAAGGTTCTACTCAGGCCTAAGTCTTATCTACACAGTAAACATGTCTACTAAAAAAACGTCAATGACGACCAGTAAACGCATGTATATATTTTTTCAAGAACTGACGATTTTCCAAAGTTAAAAGAACATAAAGCAAACAGTCTTAGTGGCGGTCAGAATTGAGTTGTATTGTTTGCAAACTAGAGGCTAAAATATATTTTGATATTTTGCGCTTCTACTCCATTGAACACTCTTTAAAATTGTTATATAATAAATTCGGGGTCAACATTAATAGACGTCATAATATAGAATAATTGTACAAAATTATTTTTATAGTGTATTTAGCTACTATTATTAAGAAAAATGTATAAGAAATACATTTCAATCTTTTTGTCTAAAACCTAAAGTTAATATTCAACTGCTAATTCTTAAAAAAGCGTTACACCGCAGGAATGCGTTCGAGCTGAATAACCAAATTTTAATAATAATAAAACTATTAAAAAAAATCCTATTTAAAAGTCAATGGAGAGTAATATTGTATAGTTTAAACTTCAATTACTCTTTGGTTGTTATTCTGCCAAAAATACTGAAAATTATACAACTTATTAAATATATTTTATTTCTTGTGCATATAGCATACATCATAAATACTATTCATAAAATATATTATGCACTAGTACATGGCTATGTAATTATATTTATATGCTAATTTATAAAAAAAAAATGCAAGTAAGTTCCTTTCTACATTAAAAATGATCCAACCGCTAGTAAAACATTTGTTTTTATTTTTTTAACGAACATTTAATTTAATGTATTTGTTCAAATGTGCACTCAACCTCGAATCGAACCGTTCCAAGGTTAACATTGACGTACGACATTAATGCCATTTTGTTTTCGCAATCGTTTAAATAATTAAGTCGGTTAATTAATTAATAACGTAATGACCGACCTGTACGTACGTAAATTTATTAATTGTATTCTACAGTACTCTCTGTTTTTTTGGACGTTATTTATTTATTTATTACTAAATTGACAAAGGGCAAGAGTACAGTTTAAAGTAAATTTTACAAGTAATTACACAAAAACAAAAATCATTACAAAAAATATTTGAGGACACAACAAGTATTAAATATATATAAATCAGTATAAATGATTTAACTATTTAAAACCGATCTCTTTATTATGGCTACAGAGTTAAAAAATAAGTCTACTTTAGGACTAATTTCGTTGCACTTATACGTGATAAATAATTAAATAAAATTTTAAAAAAAGTTATATTTAAGAGGACACTTCATAATGTTCAGTCTACACCTATACATTTTTATTTCAAAATACATGGTCACGCACAACTTAACGAATTTAACGAAGTCTAAAATATTTCTGATGAATGACCACCGTTGGCGGAATTTCTAAATTATCGTATGATAAACATTTCCTTAGTCTAACCTTAAACTGATTATAACTCTCACCGGTGTAAAAGGCCTGGTTGAACTTGATAAGTGCAGAGTGCGGTTTGTCTTGTCTGAGCAGCGCCTTGCCCTCTTCCAGCAGCTCGGCGGCCCGCAACTGTTCGGGCCACAGTTTCTCCACCAGAGACTTGACCAGAACGTTGACATGCGGTTGGTACGAGGTGCGTAGGCCGCATTTAGAGCACTGAGGTTTGCAAGGGCCGGCCACGCACTGCCGACAGAATGTGTGGCCGCAGTGCAACGTGACGGGATCGCGCAGCACCAGATCGCAAGCGCCGCAGTGAAACGGCGTCCGGTGTGGAGGCGGTGGTGACCGCGTACCATCTTGAGCTGCGGCGGTCAAAATCTGTTGTTTGCGGATAAAGCCCAAAAACGAGGTGCTCACCTGCCAGAGAAAATTGGCCGGCAGCGGGCCCACCTGGAAGCACCGAACGTACAAGTCCAGCGATTCAAGCACTTTGCCGCATTTTGCCAACGACTCGGCGCACTTGACGTAAGCGTCCATGCTGCGGTGTACGTCCGCGAACCCGTGACCTACGCCGTCGCCGATGGTGTCCGCGGCCGCCGTTTGTATGACGCCTCCTCCTCCACCGCCTCCACCTCTTCCAACGTCATATGCACTGATGTAGAGGCTGGAAAACTTGTCGTTTGTTGCCACTTCGGCCATAAAATCCTTTACTAACTGCATCCACTGAGTGTGCGCCCGAGATCAACCTGTCGACAACAAAAAAGAAGCTATTTATTGTATCGAGCAAAATTATATTACATTAAATATACATTTTTAAATGTGACATTTTTATTCTTGTTATTAAGAATTAAATTATTATTCATGGTAAAAATTTTAACTTTGGCACTAAATAAAAATATGAAAAGATTTCTGAAGACAATATCATATTCTTTTTTTTTATAAACGTAATATTTAATAATTTTAATATCACTATAATTAATTAATATTATTTTATAATTTAATTAATATTTAACATTTAAAATCACTTTTTTTTACTTTTTAAAAGTAGCTATACCTTTTTTTACGTTATTTTCAAAATCGGATATGATATTGTCTCCAAAATGTTGTTATCCATCGATTTCGTAATAGGTGTTTTTGCTTTAAAAAACCATGGACTCATCAGTAAAACACATTCTGCTTAATTATGTTTAGATGAAAAAATATTTTAAATCGCTGACAAAGTTGCTGTAATAGTATAAAAAATAAATGAACTACCAAAAAAAAATTCTAATTCCTAAACTAATAATTATACATTACAGTTTAAGTTTTAAATTAAGATTTTACAAAAAATTGGCTATACATAACTCCTTAATAAATAGGGGATTATAACGTCCTCTTAACCAAAACAATAATAAATATACGGTACACCCTAACGAATACGCGTATTTCGGGTGCAATGCTATCGTCATCATCCTATGGTGGTTCACTTCACAGTATTGTAATCATTGATATTCGCCTACGCAAAATAGTAAATTTAGTAAACGGGACCAATGACCATGCGCGGTCGGTAGCCCTATAACAAACCGCATACCGTCTAATAGATATAATAAATATTATGTTCCAGCTATTCGACTTCCAAACACGATGATAAATAATTTAATAGCTGATTGACTTCGATATCGTTTGCTGTTGCGCAGATTTTTGTTCGAAAACAAGTCCGTGATAATAATAAGCCGATTTTCATAAGCACGTGTGTCCGTTGTCGTCACGGCTTGCGTGTGTGTGTGTGTGTGTGCTTGAATACCTCTCCCCCTCACTCTGCCGGTCTATCATTTACCCTCCCACCCACTCTTCACCTGTATTCCCCCTGTCAGAATCTAACACTGGCACTACGACGGTACGCCGTACGAACGTTACGCAACTCGAGCAATCTGATCGTTTAAAAGAAAAAAATTTAAAGAGATACAACATATTTTCCCCAAACAACAAAAAGTACAAACAAATTCCAACGCGCCATTGTTTTTGATATTATTCGCTGTTGTGGTTTCTGATCGATTCAAACAACGTTCACTCGAAAGCACACAATAGGCGCGCATAGAACCCACACAATTATTTTATTTTTTTGACAATTGAAGAATAATACCAAATCAAATTTTTTTCAGGTCTAAGTGGTATTTAATAAATTAACGAATAACAACTAAAACAACTCGCGTACTAAATGACATAAAAACATGTGGTAACCCTACTTTTAAAATCAGCACCCCAAAAAATTGTTTAGGTTCCTATAAACAATTTTTGTTTTATTTTTTGAATGGGATTTTCAATAGTTTCAAAACCTATGAACCAAGAAATAAAATCCACGTGCCTCAAATGAGTTTTAGTTGTATTACGATGGATAAAATATTAGAAATACTACAAAAAAAACCTATGTTGAACGGGAAGTGACCTGCGAATGGCAACACGAGTCAATAATTTGAATTGATTATATATCATACGTGGATAAACTATTGTATTTTTAAAAATGGCCGTGACTAATTCGAGAGGAGGAGTAGTAAATGGAATTAAGCCCCCACATATATTATAACATAATTGACCGTATACATATTTAAACAAGAAATACTGTATAAAATATTTACAAATGTATTTTAACTGAAAATACATTTACAAATGTATTTTAACTGTCGTTTTACAAAAATCATTTTTTCATAGTCTAGATTTTTGGCATACGTGGGGTAGACCTGTTAGCTTTCGGTAAGGTATTTTTTAGATACCGATTTATAGTTTGACATTAGGAAAACATCATAAGCTCTGTCCATTGTAAAGAGCAAAACATGCATGATAAACATTCCAGCGTTTAGATTTTAGATTAAAAATGAACTGTAAGTTCAGTGTATAAGTTTTTAAAATTGTCAAGTCAAATTTGTATTTTTATGAAAGAAAACTTCCTTAGAAAAACTGATAACTCGATTATCAACATAACATTGTCGCTAGCTCATTGATTTAATATTTTTAATCATGTATACAAGGTTATCAATCAACCATGGACATGTTATTTCTCATAAAATTAGTAGCTGTAGGTTACTTTTCTGAAATTATTTTTGCTTGTCGTTAACAATAACACAAAATTTCCAAATATTTCAGCCAAAAGGCTTGGTAGATTATTATCAATTTACTCGAGCTAAGACAAGAAAACATGCAAACAGTTTTTTGGGGAAAATGTTATTTAATTAACACAGTTGTAGCAACGCGTTATCGTCGCCTATTCAATGCAAATTACATTAAAACGTTATAATATTAGGTCACTGCTACGGCTATTATACTTACCACCCAATACCTATATAATATATTATTATGTAGTTTAGTTATTGGGTGGTAAGTATAATAGCCGTAGCAGTGACCTAATAATATATTATATGTGTGTGTGTGTATAATATTCAGTTTTCGTCACCGTGCGAATTTGGTCGTATCACATAACACCGTAATAGTATTATTCTATTACGAAATGTAATACTGTTGTTTCTTATATTATGAGTTATGACATGATTGTCATTATAATTTTACGTTTATTATATTTTTTATCATTATTATTACCCACTCATAGGGTTTGTGTTTTACCGCTGACAGGTTGCGGACGCACGCGCCGTGAACGTAATAACTTATAATCAATTGAACAACACTCGATTATAATGATTAAAATTTCCAAGATCACTACTCTGACACACCATTAAAATAGGATAATTAAAATATAAAATTTGTTTTGTTCTCGGATACAACTTATAGGTTAGGTACAACTAGTAAAACGACATTAACCGTACAGCGTCACGATCCTTTGTCCGAGATGAGAGTATAGATAAAATAACTTTTAATAAAATCAAATACTAATTCGAATTCACGTCATCGCTTCTTTTTTTTTTTTTGTAAGTATTCATGTACAATATTATAATATAGATACACATTTTTGAACGCAGACGGGTTGTATAAGAATTTATTGGTTTTGTACATATAAATGTTGATAAAAGCATTGTACCTATTGACAATTATGTGCTTAAAAACTCTTTTAGATTTACCTCCAGTAAAACTTTCAGACCTAAATCCTTAAAACAAGGCTTGAAAAAGTGAAATAAAGAAAAAATGTCTATCCCTTCTAGAAGATAGGGCTTATGATATATTTTTGATTTATCAATGTTTATCGATAGTACTACGTTTAAAGCAAATTCCATACACATTTGGAATTAAATTGACTACTTTAAAGTTATAGAGCATCGTAATTATTATAAGTTGAAAAATATGTAAATATTTTAGGTGTATTTCTCGATTTTGAAGGGGAATGGGTGACTTTTTTTTTAATTTTTAACCCATTAAAGTACGTTTTAGATACGATTTTTAATCTACAGAATTGCTACACGAAGAAATCGGTTATACGGTTAAAATGATATCGTGGGTCCCAACACAAAAATTTACATAATAAGTTTGTAAATAAAATGAACAGATTGACTTAAAAAAAAAAAATTGGACAAGTCCCTTTCAGTAGACAAAAATGATGTGAAAAATATTTTTTAAGACTAATTAGATACTGTACATATTTTTTCCACACCGTGTTCTACATAATGCAATAAACGCGACCAGCCGGCCTCACTATGTGCGCGTTAAGCCAGTTTGCATGTACAAATTAGCGTTGGCCGCTGCGGTTAAGGTTATACACGCCCACACGAGCTACGGACTTGCCGATTTCTTGTTTGGAACAGCAAAATTATGTTCTTGTTATGAGATTGCTGACTAGAGGGAGCATCAAAGATTATTATTAAGCAAACCAGTACCAATATTATTACATTGCTTATTATTTGTCTAATACACGATCAGATGATTAAAAGTCACACTAATGTTGAAACAATCATTGCTTAATTAATATACAAAAAAAAAACGAAAAACGTTGCAATGATTTAAAACTTAGCCAGCGGTTTAATAACAACATAATAGTCAAATACCCAATCGTTTATGTAATATTGTACTGGAGTCTTCGATGCATGAACAAACGCAAACGTAATATTGTACTGATAACGTATCGACGTCTAATAGCGATAATCCAACAGACACGATTTTTTGTTTACGTTTTGAAACGTCGATTTTTTTTTTCAACCTGTACACGTGCAAAATATTAACGGTTAAACGTCATAGATAATGAGTACAATGTAGCTATAAACTACGAGGCACGCGCACCGCGATCAATTTGAAAAAAATAATAAAACAATTAAACATTCAGTTTAAAAAAAAATTGTACAACTGTCATGTTTTGTTAAAAATTTGACTTTTATCCTATACAAGAATATTATTGGGTTATTATTATTATTAATATTTTGGATCCATAAGCTTAAGATCCTACGAATGGCTTAATTCGGCCCTGAACAAAAGTCAATTTTAAATTGTACACGATATGCAGTGATGTTAACATGTTTGGTTTCTGTAACAAACGGAAACCTGAATAGTAAAAAATTAATAGAAGGTAGAGTCTATACTCGCCTAGTTAAATGTTGTCCAATATGTAAGTACTTTTTGTTAAACTTTTCTATTAAAACTATACATTTTAGTTTTAAAAGGCTAGGGTTTAGTGAGCATTTATAAAATATGTTCATGAATATGGTTCCTGACTTTTTTAAGTTCAAACGCAACTCAATATATTAATAATGTTAATACTATTTTTATTTAATAACTACGAAAGAGACTGTAAAACTAATCTTTTCAAAATCTCAACAACTTAATAACATGTTGC